GACACCCACCCACAGATAGGTTTCACCACACTAAAATCAATGATTATAATGACACCCACCCACAGATAGGTTTCACCACACTAAAATCAATGATTATAATGACACCCACCCACAGATAGGTTTCACCACACTAAAATCAATGATTATAATGACACCCACCCACAGATAGGTTTCACCACACTAAAATCAATGATTATAATGACACCCACCCACAGATAGGTTTCGCCACACTAAAATCAATGATTATAATGACACCCACCCACAGATAGGTTTCACCACACTAAAATCAATGATTATAATGACACCCACCCACAGACAGGTTTCACCACACTAAAATCAATGATTATAATGACACCCACCCACAGACAGGTTTCACCACACTAAAATCAATGATTATAATGACACCCACCCACAGATAGGTTTCGCCACACTAAAATCAAAGATTATAATGATCCCCACACAGACACGTTTCACCACACTAAAATCAATGGTTATAATGACACCCCCACACAGACACGTTTCACCACACTAAAATCAATGGTTATAATGACACCCACCCACAGACAGGTTTCACCACACTAAAATCAATGATTATAATGACACCCACCCACAGACACGTTTCACCACACTAAAATCAATGGTTATAATGACACCCACCCACAGATAGATTTCACCACACTAAAATCAATGATTATAATGACACCCACCCACCCACAGACACGTTTCACCACACTAAAATCAATGGTTATAATGACACCCACCCACAGATAGATTTCACCACACTAAAATCAATGATTATAATGACACCCACCCACAGACAGACAGGTTTCACCACACTAAAATACCTGATTTAAATAGAAGTATTTTTCTGCAGACTGCAGCCCGTATTTTTCTTTCTCGGTTTCTGTAAGACCAACCAACAGTTCGTAGAATACGTGGTAGTTCCGCTCGTCACTTGCCTGAAAAAAAATTGCAGACAGACAGACATTAGCCCAGTAAGGAACGTGGACAGCAACTAGAAGTCCCTACACTAGATATGACGTGATCTAAAATGACACGCCCATCCAAGCACGTCACAGATATTGTTCACTCCACTGAACATACTGAAAACCTATATAAAAAGTAGTTTGTTCTTTTTTATCTGGTAGTTTTACGTAAAGTTAGTATTAATAGCAGAGCTAACATCAACGTCTAAGCCTAGTTAAACTTGTGTGGATCCGACAAACTTACCTGGGTCACAATCCTTGATTTTTCCAGAAGGTAATCGGTGGTTTTAGCTCCAGTGATGACACCACTGAAAAATGAAATTTTATTATACGTACAAAATATAAGTAACATAATGTTGTTTGTTTTTTTTTTTTATTTGTCATATTCATTTATAATAAAAACATACATAAATACACAAGTATTGATTTCGTACTTTCAAAAACAATCTTTAGTTTCTAAGTAAGAAGTTTCATTATAAGACCTATGTAAGGATGATAAAACTTCCGCGCGTTATTTATTTTAAAGTTTTATATATTTTAAACTCCCTCTGTGTGCTACACTTGAACATTTAATATGGTTTTTAATTTATCAACTCATCCACTGCTGCTGGTACATGTATGGTCTCTAAAGGTTTTGTTTTCTGTTCACTGCGTCAACTCAGAGTCAAAGCTAGCTAGTAAATCCGTAAAATAATCGGGATATTTGGCGGCGCTTGCTGCTGCGGGAGCGAGATGTTGTCGTAAGGCCTCTCCGACATCTTGAGAGAAACTAATCATAGAAGTTGGAATTAATTGACTTACTGTATGGCGACATATGGCGGATGGATAACATCACCATTAAAAGTACAATCCAACACCTCTTGACTTACTGTATGGCGACATATGGCGGACGGATAACATCACCATAAAAACTACAATCCAACACCTCTTGACTTACTGTATGGCGACATATGGCGGACGGATAACATCACCATAAAAACTACAATCCAACACCTCTTGACTTACTGTATGGCGACATATGGCGGACGGATAACATCACCATAAAAACTACAATCCAACACCTCTTGACTTACTGTATGGCGACATATGGCGGATGGATAACATCACCATAAAAACTACAATCCAACACCTCGGCGGGAATTTTAAAAGTAAGAATATACATACACTAGCAGTAGTGAATGGGTTGATAAAATAATTTTCATAAAATAGTTAGTTTTTTTTACAAGAATACCAAAATATTATTTGAAAAAAAAAAGGTTCTTCTAAAGTGTACTATACAGACATGAAGCAAACTGTTTCAGTTTGAATATCGTAATAACCCATGTTTACGAATAAAAAGTTTATTCGTGTGAAGAAAATACATAATCAACTAATTTCAGTTTTTTTCTAGTTATCAAATATATATACACGATAGTAAAACTACCATGGTTTAAACAAAAGCTTATAATTATACCATACATTCAGTTTTCCTCCGACACAATCTTGCTCTTTCCAAGTCTTAGTTTCGAACCGCCATTATTTGCACTAACCACACGTTTTTTTAATGTATTAAAAACAAATTTGGGGGAAATTTTTAATTTAGCGTTCACGACAGATGTAACTTACTCTTTGAAATGAATCTCCAAATATTTCCCAAACCTGCTGGAGTTGTTGTTTCGAACCGTTTTTGCATTACCAAAAGACTCCAGTAGGGGGCTGGCCTCCAGGATTTGTTCTGTTATAAGGTTGCTAGGTGACTTGTTAACAGCGGCTAGATACTGCATTATCAGTTTGGTGCTTTCCGTTTTACCTGCTCCACTCTCGCCACTATAGGGCGGGCATGCAAGATTGTTAAAAAATTTAAATTTTGTTTAACAATATATCTACTCATTTCTTAATTTTTACAATCCTATCACTAGTTAGTTAATTTGTTTTAATTTAATACAATAACGAGAAAAATAAATAGGCACACAAAAATAATTTTTATACCTTATTCACTTGTTAGATCAATACCTAAAACCGATGTCATTGAAAACCTGTTTCATTACCATGATACAAGTAAGTATGTCACACAACGTAATATTAAAAGTATTGGATACAATATATTAGTCTGTTGTAACTCACTTGTAAGTTCAGTAAGTACAAAACAACAGTACTTCCCTTACAACACGTATAATCACAACACAGCTGTCGTTACCTTGTAACAACTTGACATTACTGACAACACAGCTGTCGTTACCTTGTAACAACTTGACATTACTGACAACACAGCTGTCGTTACCTTGTAACAACTTGACATTACTGACAACACAGCTGTCCTTACCTGTAACAACTTGACATTACTGACAACACAGACTGTCGTTACCTTGTAACAACTTGAC